TGTGAATCCCTGCCTGTCTATAAGCTGACAGGTCCAGAGGTTGTTTAATGAACCTCCCCAGAGGTTTGTGTTATGCTCCTTGATTGGGGCGACATCAGAGGGCATCCGGTCGCTGTCCGAAGTGCCGTATTCTGACAGATCTGTAGCGTCATCCACTGCGTCCTGCTAGTCCCAGGCGACCACACGGGCGCTGCATAGTTTAGAACCGGCCGACCAATTGCCATGTATGTTGCCAACAACGTTTTGTCATAATTTCAGATATGATAGAATAAACTAAAATATCTCTGGTTTTTTTGGAAGTAAATTTTTTACATAAGCCGAAAATAAGCCTTGGAATGAGTACCTCCAAATCTGCAATCTCTCCAGCGGAGCCAGTTAAATCTCTCTATCATCCGACGAAACGTAAGAACAACGTCGCCCTTACATTTGGCACAACGTCGTATTCACGGTCGTGCGCGAGACAAAGCCCTCCGCAGTGTACTACGTTAAGCAGACAAACTCCGCAGATACGCAGCTGCCAAGAACGCCAAAGAATAAAAGGCGTTAGGCCCTGATGGAATCTCCATGCAGATGTTGAAAAAGCCAGGACCTGCGGGAGTCGGGTACATCACAGCAGCTTTTAACTTGTCACTGTTCAGCCTGATCATCCGCGAGATATGGAAAATGAGAAGGATCATTCACCTCCTTAAGTCAGGAAAGAAGGCGGACGCAGGAGGCTCTTATCGGCCAATCTCCCGCCTATCCCGAGTTTCAAAAACAATGGAAGCACTACTCCCCAGCCTTACGAAGCATCTGAAACTAGCGGAACAACTAAATGCCTTCCGAAAAATTGGGTCTGAATCAACGTCGGCCCCGTGAAAGAACGGTCCTAGTCACGGTTAAACTGTACAAGGCATTCGACACGGTAAACCATGCGACCCTTTGCCAAGACGTCCTGGACGAAGCGGTGGATAACTATCTATCTGTGTGGACGCCAATCATGCATCGAATTCCGAAACACCAAGTCCAAGCTCGTAGAATTAAGCAGAAGGGTCCCTCAAGCCGGCGTACTTTCCTCGACAATGTCTAATTTGTACATGACAAAACTCCCTCCGTCATCACTTCCAAGCATGCGGGTGGGGTGCACACAACATCCAACATCATCCGCACGCACCCGACGACACCAGAAGCACTTTGTACCACGCCCATCGACACCGTCTGCTTCTTGGTCGCAGGCTTGTAGAGTCAGAAGATGAAGTCGACCCATGACGAAACCCCGCTTCTTCTTTATCGGCGCTGTAGCCGCCTAATGCATTTTGTACGAGTCGTTTCTCTTCTGTGCCAACAGACGCCAATTGGAAATGCCAAGTCTTTAATCACCTCGTCTTTCAAAAGTAGAGGCCCTACCATACCTCTGTTACCAGCATCGTAACCCGCGTTGAATACTATCAGGGCTAAAGCGTTTCTGTTCATGCGAACGACACTTCGTTCAGTCTTTCACACAAAAACTTATGCTTAAAGCCGGGCCGGCGTTAATCTGATCACATTATTCATAAGGTGCACGCACTTTATCAGCTTCTCGCCGCCGCACGCTGTGCCCTTTTTCAATTTTAGCGTGCCAAATGCGTTGTGCCCGTACGTCCCATATAAAGACTAGTGCCAGATGTTAATCATTCTTATATTCAAATTATTATCTTATCAGTTGTTATAATTGAAACGGCAAAATATTTTTGGCTATTTTAAACTTGCATTTTTTTTTTGCTCCGAATCCGATAACGCCACATTGGATCCACCCTTTTCTACTTCAAAAATCTGATATCAGATTTGAAACGAGCGACCTCGAACTCCTCATTTATGTTAGTTTTGGTGAAAGGGATAAAATAAAATTTGGTCGCCATATTGGATCCGTCATTTTGAATTTAAAAATCTGACATTTCATTCGAAATCAGCGGCCTCAAAAACTCCCAAATACTGAGTCTCAAATCGTCTTGGTTACTTCTCGACTTTTGGCCAGAAAATGATAGGCGCCAAGCCATATTGCATTGTTTCTAGGGGTCATGTATGTATGTATAAGCCGGAAATGCATACAACCGGGGTGCTTATAGGCGAGAAATAGTGTACTGTCTATGTCTCTTCCCATTTTGTCCAAAATATGTTTCATTACAGCATTATCATCTTTGTTGCCTTAAGCTACTCTCTTAGGATGCATGCCATGTTTATTGAAGAAAATTGGAACTTCGTGCAAACCTGTGCAAAAAGTGCTTACGGGATCTTAAAGTGGAAATGTTCCTTATTATTTTGCATATAAACACTAGACTGGTTCAGGCTAGACCTGCAACATCTGCTCCATTAAAACTCTTAATGTTTTCAAAATTATAATTTTTTCGGATATTTTTTGTTTATATATAATAAAATTATCAACCTGTAATACAGGTTTGAAACTTACCAAATATATTAGAAGATATTTAAGCTAAACCACGCATTGAGAATTATTTTAAAATAACTTCGCAAAACCAAGTAAGGCTACTTAAAAGTATGCGAAAAACTTCACACTAAAAAATTTATATTTTTACGCGTCACAATAAGCAACGTTTGACAGCGATTATTTTTGTTGTTGTTGTTTTTTCGTTTAAATTTATTAGATTGACTTAGTAGCTGAATATTTGTCAGCCAGAATACCAAAAGTAATGGCCATCTGAAATCATATAAATATTGGACTTTTGGCATGCTATAAATGAAAAATGTGCACCGTACTTAAATTGCTCAGCTTGTATATAGGCCGTCAGCGCCAGCAGCTTTGTTGTTTTTCAGCTGCGTAATAGGTGTTCGTATCTCGTCATAGTCAGGCGGTGGGACATCGAGTCCATCGTCATCGAGTGGGGGCTCGAGATCGTCTTTTCCAGTACTTTTCGTGCTGCTGTCATTCAGTGGTTGT